CCCTCTCCCATGTCCCCCTGGAACTGTTGTTCCTGTTGTTTTCTCCTCCAGATTGTTCATCCAGCCTATCTTATTTAGACAGACCTGCGGAGATGATAACATGCACAAAAACAAGACAGAGCAAAACTAAGCAACAACATACAACAAAACAACAACAAACCAATGACAAAAAAATAAAACAAAACACAAGAAAGAAAAGCTTATAGTTAGTTTAAGGACTGTTTGTTGGCCTTTAGGAGTGTTTTCCAGTCCTGTCTGTTGGGGCACCATGCCTTGGCCCCAAAGTCCACCTTCAGCATTCCCTGGGGACCTTGCCGCTCCGTTCCCTAGATGTTCTGTGGCGGGACAGATTGGGCGCAATTCCCACACTGTGTCTCCGGTGTTGTCCCCTGTAGGGTTTTGGGTTAGTGAGGGACATCATGTCTCATAGTGGGGCCGGCCATGGCCTCACCTCTCTCCCTTCTGAGCCTCAGCTCTCTCTTCTATAAAATGGGGATACAACCTGTGCATACCGCACAAGTTGCTTTGCAGATTCAATCCGTTCGGTTAGGTAATCATTCACTTAACAAGCACTGAGCACCTCCTATGCCTAAGGCCCTGCAAGGGGCATTAGCAATTCAAGAGCAAACCAACCAATGGCACATGCTCCCACCTTTGGGGGGCCCCACAGCACCATAGGCACTGCCACAGAAAAGAGCCAAGTCACACTCGCGCGCACACACACACACACACACCCCTACACACATGTGAAACAGAAGCAAGGATCATGCAGGAGACGCTCATGGAACTGAGAAGTCAGGGAGGGCCTCCTGGAGGAGGTACTGGTAAAGGTGAGGCAAGAGCCCTCCAGCGTATACAGAGGATCTAAGGGAACAGGAAACATGGTGCAGACAATAGACCAAAAAAGTCAAGGGCCGGGCATCTGGCTGTTGGCCTCACTGGGCTGCGGACAAGGCCTGGACAAGGCTGTCGCGGGCATCGCCCATGTCCCCAGCACAGGGCTGGACACTGGAACAGCACATGGAACACTTCATGTGGGACAGTGAGGACATGCCAGCGCAAGTAAACAGAGAGGTGCCCTTGCCTGCTTTGCGACATCGCCCCCAACACGCACCCGTCATGCTTGTTGACGTTCAAAGTGTTGACACTGGGGATATGGTAACGAGGATATCCCCCCAAACCCCAAACCCAGTGCTACCGAGTTGATTGCGACTTCAGGGTGACCCTAGAGAAGAGCGCTGTCCTGTGGGCTTCCGAGACTGGAATGAACCAGACAGAGCAGGGGCCCTGCTCCCGTGCAGCTGGTATTGCGGGAGAAGCAGCCGTGGATAAAGAAGTAGGATGTTTCCTATGTTGGAAAGGGGAGCCAGGGAGGAAGAAAGGGGGGAAGGATGGGATGTGGCAGCGTTGGGGGGGGTGGGGGTCGCAGGTTTGAACCAAGTAACCAGAAGGACTCATGAAGCACTTGATGTCTGGGCAAACATCGGATGTGAGGAAGCTAATTCTGCAGGTACAATTGGCAAGAAGTGTGCAGAGGAGACCACCGGGACCAAGGCCTTCCCCCTGGAGTGAGGGACAAGCAGGGGCGGAGCCTGAGCGGGGCAGGACAGACTCCAGTGGTACCAGGCTCCCCCTGGCTGTCTGTGGGAGCAGACCAGAGGGACAGGAAGAATAAAGGGTCGAGGCAAGAGCCTGCTGTGGCAGACCAGGGCGGTGGAGAGAAGTGGCAGGTTCTGGGGAGTCTACTTTGTTCCCTCTTGTGACCCCAGAGTACACACAGTGCCGGGCACTCAGTAGGCGTCAATAAATAATTGTTGAAGCAACGAGTGATTGACAGGTCGAGAAGCTCTTGGATGTCCCCCACCAACTTGGCCCCTCCACATCCTTGCGCAGGGAGACAAGTATCAGCAGCACGTGGAGACTGTTGGGTTTCTGGTCACCCCAGCTCTGCCCCTGTCTCACCTTTTCTTTTCTGTCCCCCCTACAGCCGCCCCGGCACCCACCCCCACCCCAGTGATCCAAGCCCCTACTCCAGCCGCCTCGCCTCGGCTTCCAATTTCCTCAAGGGCACCCCTGCGGCCAGAAGATGATATTTTGTACCAGTGGCGACAGCGACGGAAACTTGAGCAGGCTCGAGGGGCCCAGGGTGACGGACCCTGGGTGCCGCCCCGGACCCCTACCTTCACCACTCAGGTGAGATGGGGCCTGGAAGAACCCTAGGGGACTTGGGGAGGAGCCTGAAGCCAGATGGGGAAGGATCCTGAGAAGGGAGTTTAAGGGGCACTGAGGACCCTTTATGCTGCGCTCTCTCTTAGGTCCCTGTTCCTACCCCTGCGGAGACTCTGGGTCCCCTGGCCACCCAGTCGACCTATGTCCCCCTGTGGAACAGTGTGGCCCAGCCCAGTCCCCTGTGGAACAGTGTGGCCCAGCCCAGTCCCCCAGAGGCATTCGCTGTGGCTAGACCTCCTATTCCCCCGGGGCCCTCTTCACACATCCTCTGGGGCCCTAGCCCCCACGGGTTCTTCTGGGCTCCGCAGCCTAGTCCTTGGGTACCTCTAGCACCGGTTCCACCTGTGCCACCGCCCTCTACCTCCACCCCTACTACAGCCCCCCAGGGCCAGCCCCCCTCTGCTGCCTGCAGCCCTGCCCAGCCCGAAAGGCAGGACCCCAAGCTCCCCCGGAGGGGCAGAACCCCATGCCAGGAACCTGCTGAGCAAGTGGCGCCACCTAGCCCAGGACCTGGCCCGCAGCTCCGAGGTGCACTGGGACAGGTAGTGAGGGCTCGGCTGTTCCTGGACAGCTTGGAGGACACGCCCCCTCACCTGGAGGGTCCGCCCACCCCCGAGGCTGACTATCTGCAGGCGCAGGCCAGGCGGCTTCCAGCCAAGGTTCCATCCCCTCTTTCAGAGGCGCCTCTGCCCGAGACCCTGCCTCTTAGGTCCAAGACCAAGCCTAGGAAAACCGGGGGCCTGTCCAGCCCAACAGAGGCGGAGCCCCGGCAGGGTAAAGCCACGCCCTCAGCGGCTGCCCAGGGCCCGCCTCCCAAGGCCCCGCCCACCACAGACCACGCCCCCTCGGAGGACCTGCTCTCGCAGGCGGCTCAGCTCCTGGAAGCGGCTGAAGACTCGGACGGCAGCGAGTTCTCCGAGGACCCAGTGCTGCGAGTGCTGAGAGCCCAGAGGGCGGAGCTGCGGCGACAGAAAAGGTGACCCACCCATCCCCAGGATCCACAACCCGGGGTGCCGGGGTCCTCTGGACCTCCGGCTGGGTGCCCCCTTCCACCCATTCACAGCCCCAGACCCCCATCCTGACCTAGCCTAGGCTTAACCTCTCCTCTCCGGGTTTTCCAGGAAAGTGGATGCCAGTTTGTCCTGCTTACTGGGCCACGAAGATGAGGTGGAGTCCAGTCCCCTTCAACCCGCCAGGTTGTCCCCCAGGTTCCCAAGGAGGGAGCCGCCACGGGAAGGAGCCTCCAGTGAGGCCAGGTGCCTTTGAACTGTACAAATTCTGTATTTCCCAATAAAACACTTTTCAAGTTACTGGCAGAGCAGTGGGTGGTTGTTTGTCGGAAAGCAAAAAACTCAGTTCCATTCGCGGTGTCAATCCCAACTCGTAGCGACCCTGCGGTTCGGAGTGGATTTGAGACTGTAACGCTTTACAGGAGTTGAAAGCCTTGTCTTTCTCCTGAGAAGTGGCTGGTTTCAAACTGCTGGCCTTGCGATTATCAGCCCAATGTGTAATCCCTATGGGATCAGGGCACCACTGGGTGGTTCTAGGAAAGGAAAAATCCAAATCCAGTGCTCTCTATAAATGATAGTCACCCATAGGGACCCTGTAATGCAGAATAGAACTGTTCCCTAGCGGCTTAAATCTGCACCCAAGCAGACACCCCCATCTTTCTGCCGTGGAGCAGTTGGTGGGCTCAAACTGCCGACCTTGTGGCGGGCAGGCAGCCTAATTCACTACACCAGGGCTCCTCAAGAGGCACAAGGTTTGTGCTACTTTAAGAGAGAGCTCTTCCCATGACTGCCTGCTCCCCAGCCTTCATTCTGGACCACGGAAATAAAATCTTGGCAGGAGCGTGGGCTCTAGCCCAGTCCTCTAGACTCGGAGACCCTTTATATGACTTCTCAGCAGTGGACCTTCCTGTCTGAAGGGTCCACGGGCCGTCCTTTGGGCTTGAAGCTATTAAAGTGATGGGCAGCGGTCTACTTATGCCGGTCAGCCCCTGCCTGAGCCAGCGGCACCATTTGCTGCAGCCTTCTTCCGAGCCTTTCCTTCCTGCCTCCCAGAACCCCCACTCCCCTCCTCTCTCTGCTTGGGCCTCCTCATTGTCCCCAAATGTCACCTCAGCTGTGCCCCACCTTGGCCTTGATCTTTCTGCCCTCACTCCCCAGCTGCTCATCAGGCTTGAGGACTTGAAGCCCAGCCTCTAGTTCCTAAACTCCAGGTGCCTCCATCCCCATCCCTCCTGCCACTGCCCCCGGCCCCCCAGCCTGCTGGTCCTCAGGTGAGGGGTTGGAGGAGTTTTCAAGAACATCTCCAAATCACTTCAAGACCAGTCCTAAACCAGGCTTCCAACCTCTTCCCTAAAGCTAGATGCCCCACACTCTCCCCATGTCTGTCCAGGGCCCTCCTTCCTTCCAGCAGCTCCCACCTAGAGTCTCATCCCTGACTCTTCTCTTTTCACACCCGCAACTAACAAATCCAGTCATTTCTGAACGGCCTTTGAAATCGGTCCAGAATTCAGCCCTACCACTGCCCTCTACTGCCTGCCTCCCAGTCTAGGTTACTGCCATCTCCTGTCGGGATCATTCATCGAAGAGCCTATTTTTGTTGCAATAAAAGCATCTCTGAAATCCTTGGACAAGTAGGAGAGTCGGTGCCCCTTCTCGACACGGGGCGGGCCTTCGTGACCGCCGCAGGAAAGGGGACACAGTTCAGAAGTAACACTGCTCAGCCTCCGAAGCTGGGTCAGAAACGGCCATCATTTCCACCGTTTCCATTTCGGAGACCTGAGCGTGCCATGGCCCCGGTGCTGTGCTCAGAGGGGTCTGGGTTCAAAGGGAAACTCAGACTCACTGCCATGGAGTCAGTGCTGACTCCCAGGGAGTCCCTTGTGGATTTCTGAGACGGTAGCCACTTGTGCGACTAGAACGCCCAGCCTTTCTCCTGTGGAGCTGACCGTGCAGGACGCAGCCCGACACCTAACCCCTCCCTGTGGCCTGGGCTCCCTAGGTGTATCGATATACTTGCCAGACTTGGTGATGTTTGTGAATTTTTTAAAACATGGAACCCTACTTAAACTCAAAACAAAACTCACTGCCGTGATTCGACTCCAGCGTACCAGTGACTCCAGGACAGGGTAGAGCTGCCGCTCTGAATTTCTGAGACTGTAACTCTTCTATTTATTTACTTATTTGAACATTTTCTTCATCCTTTGTATTTATTTACTCTGTTGGGAGCTCTTAGAGAGACCCTAACATCCCATCGTTCCATCACATCAATCACATTCGTGCAGTTGCTACCACAGTCAGTTTCAAAACATCGTCTGTCTTCTTGAACTCCTTGGTCTCAGCTCCCTTTTATCCCCCCCACCCTCCCCTCCCCACCCTTATTTATTTATTTTGCCGTATCTTACTCCACCCAATATATCCATTCACATACAGTTCTGCTGTTCACTCCCCTCGAGTGGGGTTATACAGAGATTGTAACTCTTTATGGGCATATAGACAGCCTCATTTTTCTTCCACAGAGCGCCTGGTGGTTTCAAACAACTGGCCTTGCTGTTAGCAGCCCAACGCTAACCACTATGCCCCCCGGGCTCCTGGAACCTTAGTTAGAGATATGCCTACCACAGTGGTTCAGTGGTAGCATCTTCATCTTCCAGGTTGAAGACCCACCAGAGTGATTCCCAGCCAAGCACAACCCACCACTCATCTGTCTGGCGGTCAGCGCATGAGTCCTGTGATGCTGGGTTGCTTTCAGCAGGGCTTTCAGACGGAGCTTGATGAGGAAGAAAGGCCGGCCCTTTACTCCCCAAACCAGCCCATGAAACTCCCGTGGATCACACCGTATGATCCAATTGCTCATGGCTTCCCAAGTGGGAGCGAGGCAGGCTCCGTGGCAACCAACAGCAACATACCAATGTCTGGGTGAGACGACTCAACTTGACCGTTGTCCTTGGTTCTTGAGAGAACCCGTGGAATGTCCTGAGTAACCAAAGTGCCATTCTCTGAACCCTGCAGACCAGACTTCGGGGGTGTGTGTGAATGAGTGGCCAGACTCCAAAGCCCACCTGGTCCATGAACCTTAGGAAGGAAAAGGGTCTGAATAAATCGACCGTGCTTATGCAATGAGGCCAGTAAGCTCTGAGCATCGAAGTTCCTAGGACTCTGGCTGGGGAAAGAGGTTGATAGACACGGGAGGGCGGCATATGCCCCTTTGAGACACAACAGCTCCGGGTTGGGATGAGGGCGAGTCTTCTTTACAGCTAATCCCGATCTAGATCCTTCCCTGTAACCTGTAATCACAGGGAAGAAGTCATTTCCATGAATTCTCCAACCCAAAGGGAGCCAGAGGGGAAAGTAAAGGTTGTATGGACCCCCTGGTATTCTGAGAGGGTGCAGGAACCCCCCAGCTCCACACCCAGCAGATAGACCGGAGTCTTGCGAGGACTCCCGGGGCAGCAGCTGTTATTCTTGTGGTCAAGTGCCTTCGAGTTGGTTCCAACAGTGACCCCTGCGCTACAGGAGGACACAGTGTGTGTGAGCCCACCGTTACAGCCACCGAGTGAGTACCTTCCAAGGTCTAATGATTAGTAGATGTTTGCAGGCAGCTGTTGCTTCTCATTTTGAGCCGCGCCCCATCAGCAAATGGAGGTTTCCAGGGCTTTGCTCCACCCAGGTCATGACGAACAACTCGACTCTGAGAGTTCGGAGGCAGCTCGGCCTCCGCCGTCGTTTGGGTGCCCTCCACCCTGAGGGGCTCATCTTCTGGCACTGTCTTTGACAATGTGCTGCTGCTGCTGCTGCCATCCATTTGCACGAGCCTTCTTTACCCAGCATGAGGTCCTCTCCTTGGTAAAGGGCCCGACTCTCCTGCTACGCCATCTGTGTTAGGCTGGGTTCCCCAGAGAAGGGAAACACTGACCCCCGCCCACAAGGTGCGGCATATAGAAAGAGACTGACGCCGAGAAGTGGCTGACACAGTTGTAGAAATAGCTAAGTCCAGTCCGGTTCAGGTCAGGCTTCTCCTGACAGGTGGAAACTGACGAACAGGGAGCCTGATGATGAAGCAGAGACAGCAGGGCCCACAGGCTCGTGGAGGCCGGAGTTGGCCAAAGGAATCTACCGGCAGTCGTCCGATGACAGCTCCTGGAATCAGCCAGCGACACACACAGAGATGGAGGCACGAGACACAAGATCCAGATCCGGCAGCAAGTGAAAGGCCCAGGAGAAGGTGACCCTGCACAATCTCCGTCTCTCATCCCAAAGGGCTTACAACCCCAACGAGTGCCATCCGGCTGCCACACAAGTGATGGGTTAACCGCCACCCCTACCCTTACCCAGGAGTGTCAAGTTGACAGAATCCCTAACCGTCACGATGTCCAAAGCCCAGGAGACAAAGCCTTGCCATCCTCGCTTCCAAGAAGCAGCGGTCTGGCTGTACTTCTTTCGAGACGGATGTTTGCTATTTTCGCAGTCCATTGCGCTTTCAATATTCTTGGGCAGCATCGTAGCGTAGTGGCAAAAAAAAATATCATTTTATGATGATCGTGGACCCTATGACTCTGACTCATACATGGACAGGGCATGATGGGACAGGTTGCTTCTGCGCCACGATCTCTTGAGCTTTGTCTGGGAAGACCCAAAGGCTCGAGGCAACTTGACCCTGGGGACTGGACTCCTTTGAAGACTCTTCAGTCACAGGCTTGGCACCATGTCTGAGATGACTTAACTGTTGGATTCAACTGGAACTGCAGGCTGTAGGGCAGCGGTTCTCAACCTGTGGGTCTCGACCCCTGTGGGGCTCGAATGACCCTTTCACAGGGGTCACCCAAGACCATTTGAAAACACGTATTTCTGATGGTTTTGGACCCCAAACATTGCTCCTCTATCCATCTCCAGGCGGGCCCGCCCACATGCAGATATGCCCACCTATCAGGTGTGAAGACTGTTACCCATGCTACACCATGCTGCAAGACAAAACTTCATTTATTTGTCATTAGAAATAAATACTTCACAACATATAATTACATATTGTTTTGTGATTAATCACTATGCTTTAATTATGTTCCATTTGTAACAATGAAAATACATCCTGCTTATCACATATTTACATTATGATTCATAACAGTCACAAAATGACAGTGATGAAGTAGCAACAAAAATAGTTTGGTGGTTGGGGCTCACCACCACATGAGGAACTGTATGAAAGGGTGGTGGCAGGAGGGCGGTTGAGAACCACCGCTGTAGTGCCTACATCTGAGTGGTCTGTCCATGTAGCTTGGGCTTCCTTAAAGCCTGGCGGCCTCAGC